GCGCCTGACGCTGGACGACGCGCAGGCGGACTACGTCGCCGCGCTCCTGCCGCGCGCCTGGGTGGTGGAGAGCAAGGCGCCAGGGGATGGAGGCGGCGCGTCGGAGAGCACGGCGGCACCACCCGATCTCCCCGCTGCACTGACGGCCGCGGTCTGCTCCGTCTCCGAGATGCTGCCGGAGTATGGGCCGGGCTACCTGGCCGCCTGCATCGAGCGGGCGGGGGGCAGCGCCGAGGCGGCCGTCGCGGCGCTGCTGGACGGCAGTGAAGGAGTGGCGGGGCTGGACCGAGGAGCGGACTGGGCCGCCTACGCTGCCTGGAAGGCCCTGAGCCAGCCCGCGCGGCCGGAAGCGGTGGCGGCAGCAGTAGGGAGGGGTGGCGCCGCGACCCCCGCGCCGGCATCCACTTCATCCTCTTCAGGCGCGGCCAAAGGGCGGCCTCCACAAGCGGCCGTGGCGCGGTACCTGAATGTGCGGGAGGAGCGGTACCACAAGCAGCTGCAGACGGCGGCAATGGAGTCGCAGGTGGGAGGGGGTCTTTCTCGGAGTCGGTGAGATGGGGGGCTGAGGGAGGGGGGCTGCTCATGTGTCTTCCACGAGGCCGCCGGTTACAGTTCTCTGTGCCTGTACTGGACTCGGCAGCACTGTCGATGCGTTTTCTCGAGCTGCTAAAATCACCCGTTTCCCCCCCAAAAAAAAACCTTCACTGTGCAGTGGGAGTACGAGGACGAGTACGATGACTCGCTGGACGAGCTCGCGCCAGGGGCCGGGGACGGCGGCTCCGAGGCCGACGCCGGCAGGGCCAGACACGACGCCGGCCCCGAGCGGGGGGGCCCGCGCCGCGCTTTGCAGACGGCGCGGGTGCACGCGGCGGGCGGGGCAATGCGCCGCCGCCGCGCCGCTGGGTTCTGGACGGCCGCGTGTACAACTACCGGAAGGAGGGCGCCACGCCGGTTGCCAGCGAGGAGCACCTCCGCCAGGTGCTGGCGCAGGCCGCTGCCGGCAGGCGGGAGATCCATGGGCTTGGCCCCGGCGGGAACAAGCCCCTGACCGCGCCAAGGCCCAATGTTGCGCCGCAGATGGCCGCTGCCGCTGCGAGCGGCGGCCAGGCGGCCGGACAGGAGCAGGGGAGGCAGGGGCCTGACGGGGCGCAAGGGGGCCGCGGCGGGCCCGGCCCCAGGCGGGGTGGGGGCGGGGACCCGGCTTCGGACCGCGACCGGAAGAAGAAGGACCAGCACAAGGCGGCGGTGGGGAACCACCACCGCAAGGACCGGGCGGCGCAGAAGCAGAACCGGGGCATGGCCGCTCCCTGAGCTGGCAGGCCGTGAATCGACTGGCAGAGCGCGGATTGTGTTGCAATGCACTCGCGCCCCATGCCCCTCTCCTCTTCCTTGTCCCGACCACTCCCCGTGACAAACTTCCTTCACTGAACGACTCTCTTACAGGAAGGGGGTGGGGGATGGCAGGACAATGCATGGGCGTCAGGGATCATGCCGGGGCCAGCAGGCCCCGGCATGAAACACCCGCCGCCCCGTGCGGGTGGGAGTGCTCTTTCAAAATTCTTGGGTCATGCAGCAGTCAGCACATCGTCACGTGTCCGTCTCCTCGTCTCTTCCTGCACAAGGGGCGCAGTCACAGGACCGACACGGCTCGGTCCAGGGTATCTCTCGACGCAATGCTCGGTAAGGTGTGTAAGGTGGGGCGAATCTGGGTCATGACGATGAGGAGCGGCCCTTCCGCCGCGTCAGGAGAGCAACAGGAGGGGACGGGCCAGGGTTGACGCGAGAGGCGTGCTGCCTACTTGTCCAGGGTCCAGGTCTTGGACACGGTCAGGGTCTGTGGGAGTTTGGGGGTGGAAGTGGGAAGTGAAACGGGAGGCATGTGTGCGACCCCGGACTGGGGCGTGTGTGATGGGCATGCAGAAGGCATGAGACTGGGATGGTACGGAGAGTGAAAAATAGGATCGATCTATCTGCAGAGGGACACGACCAGCCGTGAGCTGCACCATCGGCCAAGAAGTCAGTCACAAGCGCCAGCCAGACCCTCACCGGTCGGGACTGCGTGGAGTCCTTGTCCAGCTCAGCGCGAGCAACCACCTGCGCCGGGTGAAGGGTGGGAGCCAAAGACAGCATGAATGGTCTGTCAGGGACAGGAGCTGCAGCATAGCCAAACTTCCAGTTCACTTCCACACCAACCTACCCTCAGGTCGCCATCCACGCCGCGGTTGATCCAGGCCAGGACGCCAACGTTGGTGCCCTGTGGGGTGGGAAGGGAGCCGGTCAGCACAAGCTCACTGGCCATGCGTCATTGATAACAGTCTCAGGCCATGCGAAAACAATCATCGTGCTCCTACACCCCTCCTCACCAAGTCGAGGTGGGCGGTCACGCGGTTGTTGAGGTCCAGGTTGTACCTGGCGGTGATGGCGGCGCTCTCAGTACCCTGTGTTGATGGGAGGTGGGCACCTAGACTGAGCAACATGCTTGCTGGAGTGAGGGGTGCATGTGTGTTGGGGACTCTGCAAAACAATCAGCATATATACAACTGCAGCCGGACCCAGGTTGCTGCTCTGGGGACCCACACGAAACGGTACGATCGATAAACCAAAAGCAAGCGCGCCCCTCCCGCACCAGGTTGAAGGAGGGCTCCACGATGAAGTCGCCCTGGCGATGGCTCCAGCGCAGCGTCACGTCCTTGCTGTTGAGCCTGCGGATGGAAGGGGTGCGGGATGGAAATACAGCTTGAGACATGCCGTCGGGAAAGTAATTGAGGATCAGCATCTTCAGCCAGACAACACGGTAGCAGGGCAAGCCGAGGAGGTGGCCGGCAACGATTGGAAGAACTGCTCCTCCTATACAAGGAGTGCCTCCCTCTCTCCGCCTCCAACGCTCACCCCTCAAAGCCGACGGTGTTGTAGTCCAGCTTCGCGATGTTGTTGGCATCCACCTGGTGCTCCAGGCGGAGGTGCGCAGCTGCAGGGCGAGAGGAAGACGGTGTGGAGCACGGGGTCAGCACCTTGCACACAGGCATATTTCTCCGCGCCCGGTCCCGGGCTCCGGTCACCATGAAACTCACCGTTGGACTTCAGGGCATGCGCGTACTTGACGAAGACCAGGCGGTCGGCGACAACCACGCTCGACTTGATCCGCACGAGTGGGGACTTGGTGGCCACATCTGGAGTGGGGGCGTGGGAAGGTGGGTGGGTCGTGTGCCCACCTCAGCATTTCCGACATGGGGGGCAGCTGTCGGCGCTTACCGTACTCGAGCTCCAGCCCCTGCCCGTTACGGAGGGCCAGGAAGACGCCATCGGTGGTAAAGTTCCCGTTCTTGATGGAACGGTCGGCGACGCGCACGTCAATCTGGTTTGGGCCGTGGTTGAAACGGAAGTTCACCCTGGCCGACGTCTCATTGTTACCATGCAGAGTCAGCTCGGGGCGGACATCGAAGCGCACCATTCTGAGACAATTTACGGTCAGTAAGGGTGTCGGTGAGCAGAATGCAGCGTCAGGAGCCGGGAATGCGGTTGGTGCGAGCAAGGGGAAAATACATATCCCCTTCCGATCAGCTCGAAACACACATTTCCGGGGATTAACGGCGGACGCCTAGTCGAGTCAGCATGATCCGTGAGGGCAGCCCGGAAATGGAGCTCGCACATGGGGGTACATAGCAGGATCGACGGCACTGGGAGTATTTGCTGACACTGCGCTGTCTGAAAGCGTCATGCCCTGCGCTTGGCAATGTGGTTGTACGAGGTGTGCTGAGCCTCGGCGTGGCCACCGGAGGAGTCGATCCAACAAATGGAGGCCAGCGCATGGATTTTCCCCTCCTACATAGTATGCATTATGCGGCACAAACAAACCCATCCCAGTCCCATGGCTTGAGACTGATCGGAGGTTGATGCAATTGTCTGATCTTGAGTCAGAGATGACAGTCTACATGAAGAGCAGTACCACATGTGAATGGCATGATGCCCTCTCAAGCCCCATCGTCATTAGTGCACCAGGTCGGAGATGGGGCTGCGGTCCATGGCCCGCACCACCTTCCTGGCGGCGGCACGCAGTTCCGGCAGCAGCTGCTCGCAGTGCGCGGCCTGCCGCGCCAGGTCCACCGTCCTCATGAGCAGGCGCGCCACGTCGCCGTCGTCCAGGCTGCTGTCGGCGGCCAGCTGCGCCCAGGACGCGCCCGCCGCCCAGGCCTGCGCCAGCCCCGCCACGCGTGCATCCAGGGTCACGGGGACCTCCACCCCCGCGCCCGCCTGCGCACGCTCCAGCTCCAGCCGCGCGCCCTCCAGCGCCTCCAGCGCCGCCGCGGCGGCGGGCGCTGCGGGGTAGGCCACGCGCAGCCCAGGGCGGGAGAGCGCGTCGCCCGCCGCCAGCGCCGCCAGCGCGCCGGCCAGGTGCTCGGGGGCCAGGTCCTGCAGCGCCGCGTGCGTCAGCGCCAGCGCCAGCCACAGCTCGTTGCCGCCGTGCAACTGGCGCGCAGCCTCGCCCAGCGGCGACAGCGGGATGGAGCGCGGGGGGGGTGGGGGGGTGCCCATTGGGGTCGTGTCGCCCATGCGGCCTTCGGACGTCGCGTCGTGCTTGACCGTCTGTATTTGGGATGGCGCGACACCGTCAATCGGTGCGCCGTGTGAAGCAGCGCCACTCACTTGGGCATCATGGGCCGCTGCACCGCCGCCCCCTGCGCCAGCCGCAGTGCGCCCGTCCACCTCGGCCCCCCCGTCGTCCCCTCGCAGGCCAGCAGCGCGGCGCCCACCGCCGCCGCACCCATGTCCAGGGCGCCGAATTTGCCCAGCACGCCAAGCAGGCGCTTGAAGGCGCGCCAGGTGGCGTCGCGCGCGTCCGGCAGCTCGCCCCGCGCCTCGGCCACGCTTTCCTCCACGCGCGCCAGGCGCCGCGCGGCGCGCTCGTGGCCCCGCGCCGCACGGCGGAAGCCGGCGTGGGCCTTGGCCTCGCGCTGCGCGCGCTGGGCTACCGCCAGGTCGTCCGCGCAGGCGCGCAGCGAGCGCAGCGTGCCCGGGTCGGGGCGCGCGACCTCGAACGCGCCCGGCCCGGGCAGCGCCGCCGTCCACCCGGCCGTGCCCTTTGTCCCCGGCGCGGTCAGCGCGGAGGGGGCCTGCGGCCCGGCCGCCGTCCACCCCGCGCCGGCGACGCTGCTCCCCCGCGCCAGCGACGGCGGGGGCCCGGCGGGGACGGAGGGGCGCACGCCCGCCAACACGTGCGCCGGCACGTCGTACAGCCGATTGTCGGCGCCGAGGCAGACGTAGCGGGGGGGGGCCGGCGCTGCGTCTGCCGCAGCCTCCCAGCCGTCATCCTTGCCGTCCACCTCGCTGGGGCCCAGCAGCCAGGCGGGGAGCAGAGCGAGCGAATCGGGCCCGGCCCCAGGGTCCAGTAGCCGCCCCTCCAGATCCAGCGCCACGGCGGGGCAGGGCGTCTCACGCCGCGCCTCCGCGACCCGCTCCGCCATCGCACCGCCGTGCGCGGCCCGTACGGCGGAGCGCAGCCTCCTGCCCGCCGCCTTGGCGGAGCGCGCGGCCTCCTGCGCCGCGCGGAAGCGCTGCCAGAGCTCGGGCTCCGACCCGACGCCGTCCGCCGCGCCCAGCTCGCGTCGCAGGTCCTCCGCCGCCCTTTCCAGGGCGGCCACCTCCGCCAGGCGCTGGCGCGTGGCTGCGCCGCCCATGTACCGCAGGAACGACTTGTGGAGGAAAGCGCGGGCGTCGGGCAGGGAGCGCGTGGCCAGCAGGCTCAGCGCCATGCTGTACCCCGCGCTGAACTGCAGTGGTAGAGAGGAGAAGGGCTGGCAAATGTACGACTTGGTGTGTGCGTATGTGTATTGGGTAGGGGCAGGTCGTAACCCAACAGCAGAAGAGCTCGGGCCCCCCTGCTCCAGGGCATCCCGCGCTGATCACCACAACCCCCCACACTCTAGCTCAAGTTGTTCCTTCCGAGGCTCTGCGCTGCAGACTTCCGCCCCTGCCACAGCATGCAGCATCGTCCCACTCAACACCACCGTACAAGCCCAGAGTCTCCTCCTCAAGACCCCAGTACCTGGGACTCCAGGGGTTCGGGCCCGCCCTTGAGGACCTCCCAGGCGGCACTGGGCTCGTCCCACTTGGAGGCCACCACCACGCAGTGCCCCTCGGTGTCGTACCCACGCCGCCCCGCCCGCCCCGCCATCTGCTGCAGGTCGTTGTGCCGCAGCGCGGCAAACCCCTCCCCCGACCGCCGGGTCATGGTGGAGATGAGGGAGGTGCGGGCGGGCATGTTGATGCCGGCCGCCAGCGTCTCGGTGGCAATCACCAGCTTGAGCAGGCCTGTTCAACAAGGGAGGGAAGTGGTGTAGTCGTCATTGTCGGGAACGTGACTCACGATTGCAGCCATGGTTTAAAAGAGTGCATGCAATGAGCTTTTAACACCATCAAACATAGAAGAGCTGCTGCCACCTCTGCTCATAAGAATGTCCCAATCAGGAGCACCGTGCAGATCATGGCTCGGGGTCCAGGCTGAGGCAGCTAAAGCAACCAAAATCCCACCTTGCTGGAACAGGTGCTCCACCAAGGTCTTCCAGGCCGGGAGGCAGCCCGCGTGGTGGGAGGCGATGCCGGCCAGCAGGGACGGCACCAGGTCCTCCCTCACGGCTTCGGGGGCTCCCTCACGCGCCAGGTCGATGTGCCTCTGGATGGCCTCCCGCTCTGCAGGGAGGAGGGGAGCGGTGAAGGTGTTGGTCAGGTGTAGTCATGGAATGACCATGATGCCGGAAGGTACGAGGCCTTTGAATTCAGCAGTAGGTAACCTTCTGATACCCTGGCATTGTCCCAATATCTGACTTGCAAGGGGCACCGGCAGACCACTGCACCTGTCTGCACCCGTTGCCTCCCCACCTTTGGGCGTGGTGAGGTCGATGCCCTGGGTGGGGAGGGCGATGGCGCACAGGTCGCACTCCCGCCTGGAGAAGCAGAACCACAGCGCCGGCAGCATGCCTTTGGAGTTCAGCAGCCGGACCACTGCACGTGCAGAGGGGTGTGGACAAAGGTAGGGAACACATGAGCTGATGCAACTCTTGGGGCTGGGCCAGTAGGCTGACCGGCAAGTGCCGTTTCTGCCGGTCGTCATCTGTCGACCCACCCACGACCATCATAGACCTGCCTTGAGCCATGGAGGGCACACGCCGTGCCCGGGGCACGCTCAGCCAGTCGTCCTCCTCCGTCCTTTCCACCACCGACACCAGCTCGTCCAGCACACGGCGGCCGCGCTGCCCGCCCGCGGCCGCCGCGCCGGCCTCGCCCTGCTTTCCTCGTGCGCTGGGGTGAACGAGGGAGGGGTGCAGCCGGCGCCCGCCCCGCGCCAGCAGGGGCTTGAGCCGCGCGCGCGCCAGCTCGGCGTCCGCGTGGCAGTAGTGCCAGGTCAGCGGGACGGGACGGTGCGTGCTGCTCACCACGCTGCACTCGCCGTGGACCTGAAGAACAGCGGGTCAGGGGTCAGGAGGGAGGGCTCACTCACTTCCAGCTGCCGCACCCATGTACATCCTGTCCTCCTCCCCCTGCACACACCCACCACCCCACCCTCCCCATCCACCTGTCTGATCCAGCCCGCCAGGTCACCAGGGTTCTTCACAGTGGCGCTCATGCCCAGGACCAGGATGTGGGGCGGCAGGTTGATCAGCACCTCCTCCCACACGCTGCCGCGCCAGGGGTCGCCCAGGTAGTGCACCTCGTCCAGCACCACCAGGGCCACGTCCTGCATGAGAGAGGTTGGGAGGCCTTCACGCTCTCCTCGCTGCATTGGACATGTGCCTTTCCGACACAGGGCTCGGAATTGGAACGCTCGGTGGCCATTGTCTCGGCCACAAAGTAAAGATCGGCCTAGATTCAATCGTCCACCCCACGATCCCCACCCACCTCGAAGTCATCATCACCGGCGGCATCCGTCGCTGCCTCAGCGCCCTCCACCCCATCCGGCGCCATCGTCCTGCTGCGGTACAGCTGGTTCCTCAGGATCTCGGTGGTCATGATGACCAGCGGCGCGGCGATGTTCACGCTGGCGTCCCCGGTCTGCAGCCCCACCGCCTCCACCCTGTGTGCAGGGAGAGGGCGGTCCCCGATGCACAACATTCTCGACAGAAACTCTCCCAGCATACGGCCCGTATCAGTACCATCCACCAGTGCAAAGGGTCACACGTCGCTCCAACAGCAGCCGTCAACCACCGCGGAAGGGCATCGCCCTCTCCCAACCCTGCCCTGGGACCCGCCGGGATGGCAAGTAGCCTTGGACCGCACCCGAATCGCTGCCGCATCTCCACCAGCTTCTGGTTGCTCAGCGCCTTGAGGGGCGTGGTGTAGATGATGCGCCGCCCCGCTCCCAGGAAGTGGCGCATGCAGGCCTCGGCGATGGCGGTCTTGCCCGAGCCCGTGGGTGCCGACACCACGACAGACCGCCCCCGCACAATGTACTTGATGGCCTTGATCTGGGGATACAGAGGTCGGGGTGGGATGGGGTGGCGGGGTTTGGGGTGTAAAAGTGAGGGAAGCTGCGGATGAATGAGCAACACGGCGCACCCATCCCATCAGAAAGGCAGGTGTGTGTGAGCGCTGTGCAGCACACAGATCCTAGTTTCTCTGCCATTCTTATGTTCAGTTGGTTGGAACCAAGATGATTTGCACACAGCCTCTCACCCACAGCCGCTTGCCTGGAAATCATCTAGCTGGAAGGGGAACTGCGCTGCCAGGGCCGCAGTCGTCTCGTCCATCTCCACCGGCTCCCTATTCCGTTCTGCGGTTCCCCTTCCATTATTCAACTCTGCAGACCCAAGCTGACCTCCCTGAAGGTGGATGGAGAAGCCTCAGGATATAGCAGGGACACGCCAAGGTGCACGATATCACAGGAGGAGGAGAGCAGCACAAGGCACATGCAAGACACGAGAGGTGCAGTGCCTATCCTTGAGCCACCAGCGTACCACATCGGCGGTTGCAGTGGTAGTAGGAGATCTGTCTATCGTGGGCGTGAGTCCCTCAAGCGCCTCTGCAAACTTCTGCAGCCGGGCAAAGCCTGGCCCTGCATCTGTTGGGTTTTGCTCCTTCTGACGGGCTGTCTTCCCTGACGTGGGACGGGGCTTGGGCACGTCCTGCTTGGGCCTGGGAGAGCGAGGCCCCGCCAGTCGCCCCTTGGCTGCAGCTGCCCTCCTGGCCCTGGCACCAGCTGCATCCCCGCCCCTCCGCAGGCAGACGGTCGGCGGGGAGGAGAGCGCGCCACAGCCTGATCGGGCCATGCCGCGGCTCAGTAGCCTTTGTTGCCCTTTATGCGGGTGCGCGGATCGATCTGGCCATGCTTGCACCGGAAGAAGGTGTAGCGCAGGCCCGCACACTCCTCGCTGACCTTGGCGCACTCCGTCACGCTACGATGCTCCACCTGAACGGGGCATATAATGGTGGAGGGTACGATGGAGCTGGAATGGCCCCGCCCGCTCGCATCAGGGCGCCCATTATCCACGAATGTAAGGCCAGCACGCTTGCCTTCATGCAGTCGGATTCTCGCAGGCATTTCACAAATTCCACAAACAGGCCCTGGCACGACTTTGACATGTCGTCGTGCTCGGGCTATGGTGTTTGGATTCTGGTGAAAAAGAGGCGAGGCTGACTATGTTACGAGCAGCGGAGTTCTTGGGCACCGACGAGCACGCCACCACGACAAGGTCCCAAGGTAAATCAAGCGTGCACAGAAGTGATCAGATTGAATGCGTTATTGAGCGGAAATGATTGATAAATCGCGTACTGCTCTGCGATCCCTATAATAAGGGCCCTTGGTGGAATGATGGGCGCTGTACCCCTCCGGCATGCATCTCTGGCACGATTCAAGTTATTGGATGTCTGGGTGTTATACAATCGTCTCAGAAATGTCTGGCTCGCAAAATGACCACTGGAGAGACTTCTTTAGTATCTTGACATGTACCAGTTGCAGTTTCACCCCGAGGGATGGGTTTCAAAAACCATGGATCCGTCTTCTGAGGGTATCAGCAATGCCTGCATGAAGCGAGGGACCAGAAGTTTTAAGTTTTTCTCATGTTGAGCAGTGCAGGAGCTCAGGAAAACGTTCATCCCCTGACAGAGTGGATGGCGATATCATAAGGATCAAATCTCAGTCACTGTCCAATAGCCGTCGGCAATCCAACAAGCTGACCCCGCTGGTCACGAGCGCGCGCGCATCATGGGCCGCGGCACTCGGGTACACGCGAGGGTCCCGCGGCATGCAGACTCATCAACTTGTCCGAGGCAGCACTCGGGCATCATCGTTACACCCATTTGGTGACCATGGTACCCTCCGCGAACGGCAAGACGGTCGTCACGTTGAGATATCAGAGCGGTTTCGGTAAGCTATCGGAGCCCTGTGTCGTTCGCGACCGGAAATCACCATGACCTTGTGGGGCCTCGAAACCCGCCTCCTTGATCCTGGAACTATACTGAACCGTATGCAGGGAACGATTTCGAGTCAGAGGCTTTGCCAGGGAGTCTGCCTGTTGGCCAAAACAACCCTCGGGTGCGCCAAAGGTCCGACATGCCGAAACGGGCAGATCTGGCGGTTCCAGAGCGTGATCAGGGTATGCCAATTCCCCCCCTTGTTGCAGGAAGCTCCCTATGGACTCTACGCCGAGCAGCTGTCTGGCACAGCCTTCACTGCGCCCCGCACGTAAGGAGCGGGAGGGTTTCATGAGGGAGGCGCCCATGGACATTGGTGATCAGAGGCCTTTACTCCACCTCCACTTTACTAACAATACCGCAGGCATAACCAGAGGGCTTGGCTGTACAGAATCCGTCCTTCCGTCACCCACGAGCCATTCCATCCCCTAAACTTCCCTGTGGAGACTCTGTCTGCCAACTTTACAACAGGGACGATCACCCCCAACCAACTCAGGTACAGGTCTTAGTGGCATGTGGAAGGTGTCAGAGTGTGATGCTGAACAAGTCTCGTCATTGCTCTATGACTTGTGGCCTGTACGACACTCTGCAGCAATTTTGATCGCACAGAGCCCCTGCCCTTGTAGATGGCGGCCCTTCCCCATTCCTGAGGATCCGGTGGACTTTGTGCGAGGCCTCTTTACAGTGTGTGGTGCCGGAAGGTGCGAGGGCTTATGGTGCTGTGTTGCTTGAGCTGGTGGATGAGGAGAAGGTCTTCAGTATGTCAGTATAGCCGAGTTGTAACTGGAAGCGGTTTATCCCAGAATTGACAAACACCGCTGCCTTCCCAATCCTCTCATTGTCCCAACCAAATAGTGCGGCTGCAAAGGATGGGTATGCCATCCACATGTACGCTGCCTCTGCAGACATGGGCGACTCCTGCCTTGCCAATGCTGATGGAGACTTCCTCATCGTCCCCCAGCTGGGTGGGTGCTTTGATTGTATTGGAGGATGGTGATCTGTCATGCCATGGAAGCCAGATGTGGTGGATTTGGTACTCATGCAGCATAATTCTTCATGACTAGACTGTTACATCAGGGTCCCAGAGCTGAGCCAACACCCACACCTCCATCCTTTGACATTCTACTGAGACCCTCTAAAATGTTTTTCTGCCAGGCACCCTCTGCATCACCACCGAATTTGGAAAGCTACGGGTGGCACCCGGAGAGATCACTGTAATTCAGCGAGGCATGCGCTTCTCTGTGGATGTGGAAGGTGGCAGGGCACGCGGATACGTTCTGGAGGTCTTTGCAGGGCACTTTGTGCTGCCTGACCTGGGTCCTATCGGTGAGTATTGCGGGGAGAGTCTCAAGCTGGGGAGGAAAAGGGGAGCAGGGCAATGTTGAAAGCCTGGAGCTCTGTTACCTTTGGCCAATCTTGGGGAGTACTTCCTTGTCTCGCACACAAGGTGCTTATAAATGCGTCGATGTGTCTCACTCCATTTCGCTGCATCATCCAGGTGCCAATGGTCTGGCCAATCCCCGCGACTTCCAGACGCCGGTGGCTTGGTTTGAGGACAGGCAATGCCACTACACTGTGATCACAAAGTTCGAGGGCCAGCTGTTCTCAGGTGGGCAAGGGAGGGCACTGTAGGGCGGTGCACGTGGGAAATGGATGGCCCAGAACATCGTCTTGATCCAGAGGCCTACATGTACTTCCTTGAGGCTCTGGATGATGGTGAGGTTGCACTTGCCTGCTGTGTTGTCGTGTTGCAGCATGTTCCCATCACAAGTTTAAACATTCTCTCCTCCCCCTGCAGCCGATCAGAACTTCTCGCCCTATAATGTTGTCGCCTGGCACGGGAACTATGCGCCCTACAAGGTGGCAGAGGGCAGGAGGGAGTTGTGTCTTGGGTCCAAACCAACCATGACAATGTAGAGTTGTACAGTTGGGCGTATAGGGTGTGGGGGCCCGCATCCCTCACACATCCCCTTGACAAACCCTAGCCCTCTTAATCACCCTGCAGTACGACCTGTCCAGATTTTGCCCCATGAACGCCGTGGCCTTTGACCATCCAGACCCCTCCATCTTCACCGTGTTGACCTGCCCCTCAGCCATCCCAGGTAGGAATGGGGAGGAAAAGGGGAGTGAGATGAGAGAGAGAGCATACTGCCTATATTCCCCTGACCTGCCACCTCACCAACACCTTGGTGTCTCGCTTGCCTTCCTCACTCAGGCACGGCTGTGGCCGATTTTGTCATCTTTCCCCCGCGCTGGACGGTGGCGGAGCACACGTTCAAGCCCCCATACTTCCACCGCAACATCATGTCGGAGTTCATGGGGCTGATCCGGGGAGAGTACGATGCCAAGGCCGGCGGGTTCAAGCCAGGTGGGCGGGGTGGAGCGAAGACTCTGGAAGGCATGCTGTGCTGGCACGAGTTGGTGTTTGTGGGGTTGACTCTGTGCGGTCTCGCTCTGATCCACTTCGACTCGATGGTGTGTTGTGGACCATGCAAGGCTCGTGTCTCATATGTGGCTATCCCCTTGCAAAGGTGCTGCATCTCCTGCTGAGCCCACGCCTGCATTGATCCAATCCACACACGCCTTGCATTCCCACAGGCGGCAGCAGCCTGCACATGTGCATGACGCCCCATGGCCCAGACACGATTTCCTATGAAAAGGCCATCCTGCCAGTGGCAGAGGAGCCGGCCCACCTGCCCAGGGACACGCTGGCCTTCATGTTTGAGACGTGAGTAGTCGCCCAGTCGAGGATGGAGTTGGACTGAGGTCGGCTGGGTCGTGCTGTTGTGCGACACGTTTGGAGCTATCATTCCGTCAGACATCGGAGGCACCACATGATGTCAACACTGTTGTCACGTCTATACGATTTCCCCCCTCCATCTCATGGCAGGTACTACACACCGCGTCTGACGGCGCAAGCGCTGGGCTCGTCCTCCATGGAGAGGGGGTACTACCAGTGCTGGTCGGGGCTCAAGAGCCACTTCACAGGGTCCAAGAGCCCCGCGCCCAGCCAGGCTGAGGAGGCTAGACCCCTGGCCGAGTCTGCCGCTGCCTGAAGTGCTCTGTGCAAGTTTTGGTCGAGCACCGTGGCGAGATTTGGCGAATGAATGGTTTTGTAACATATCATCCGTGCTGTGTATGGATGTGACGGGCGGGGAGACGTGGAGAGCTTCGTGAGTCTGAGTTGCCGCTGCCTCCAGGGACAGCTCAAAACTCATGTACTGCAACAGGACATCGGTGAGGGGGTTGGGTGACAAGCTGGTCGACATCACTTGAATGATAATTGCCTATCGTGCTTGCACTTGCATGCCAGCTTGAACACAGGATGAATCAGCATGAAACAGCAAGAAGGTTCCATGAATGTAGTTCATGCAACCCTATGCTACTCGTCAGGCTCCTCCCTTGATGTACCAGCCTACCACAATTGAGGGACTGGCGGTGTGACCTCCTTGCCAAACATGAGCATCTAGAAATTCTGCAACCTCCGTCGGTTCGTTCATACCATCCAGAACACATCCGATCCCATTAGACCTCGGAAATTAAGCTGGATTGGGCGGGAATAGTACTGCGGTGGGTGACCACGTGGGAAGTCCCCGTGATGAACTGCCTTTTTGCTTTTTTGGCGGATATTGTGAGGAATTTTCAAGCCAGGGTTCGGAAGGCGCTAGGTCGTGAGGGGATTAGCATCTCCCCTTTGGCGCGAGACGACCATATCTGGCGCCGCAGCTGTGATCTTCATATACAGAGCATGCCACGAAGATCGCATACTTGAGATCCAGGTGAAGCCAAGAAAACAAACATTGACCAAGTTCCCCTTCATAATAAGGATCCCTCAAGATTCTGCCGCGTTCGCTGCGTGTCGGTGAAATCAGCTGCCTGCGCCTTCAAATCGAAACAGCATGAAGCCGATGCTGCCCGTATATGTATATAAACGGGCTCGATCGCCTCATAATGCCATTGAAATCTGGATCTTGAAAGGGAATCGTATCGAAAGCTCATTGCCCCTTGACCGTGCGGGATCACCGCTTGCGCCAGCATGAGCGACTTTGTCAAGCTCACCCCCGATGGAGTGGGACTGGAATTCCAGGGGGAACCCTTTAAGATTGTCGGTGCCAATTGCTACCTCATTCAGGTTCGCACTGTCGGCTGCGATGGCCGACCACGCGTGCGCAACTTCGGTGACAATCTCATTACGCATGTGCAAGGCTCTGGGCAGCCCCCTCTTGCTACCTTCCGACGCCTCTTACACTCGACCATCATGTGCAGCAACATGGAGCAGACAGCAATGGGAGTGGTAGAGGCCGCATGGCAAACATTATCAAAGCTGCTGCAGACAAGGGGATCAACGTGCTCCGCATCTGGGCCCACAACGAGCTCACCTGGAACAGCATCCAGAATGGCACAAAGGAGGTCCTCACCAATCCAGATGGGTCGGCCTGGTTCGAACCGATTATTGACCCAAATGGCATTGATGGCCTGGATTGGGCGGTCGCCGAGGCAGCCAGGAATGGTGTCAAGCTCATCATGAGCCTCACCAACCACTGGAAGGAGTTTGGTGGCATCCCTCAGTATGCCAGGTGAGTGGTGGGACTTTGCTGCAGTGTACGAACAGCAAGCAGCTGGGATGCCGCGTCATAGGCCTCTCTTTGTCATAGTGCAGGTGGGCATCCAAGAAATCTGATCTCAGCGAGTGGGAGTTGCAGAACATATTCTTCAGCAATGGCAAGGCGCAGTCAATGTTCAAAGCCTACATACAGTACCTGCTGAACAGGCCCAACCCCAAGCGGGACGGTGTGCGCTACAAGTAAGGTTTGGGGGGTCAAAGCCGGGCAGAAGAGCATGTTGGGGCACTCATACAGTTGAGGTCCATCTCAAAACCACGACTTAAATGTCCATTCTACATTATTTGTTCACAGGGACGACCCAACCATCCTGGCATGGTCGATCGCCAACGAGCCCAGGGGGCGGGTGGACCCCAGTGGGCGCACCTTGAACAACTGGATAGCAGACACCTCCAAGTTTGTCAAGTCGCAGGACAGCAACCACCTTGTCACCGTGGATGTCGAGGGGTTCTTCTTGACAGATCAGGATGGTGAGGAGGGGAGACTGGGGTGAAATGAAGGTTTCATACGCTTTAGACTCATGTTGAGCGAAACATCTCTGAAGTTGTGGCTGCTGGCCTCTCATACCCATCTGTTTGCAGGTGTCAAGGCATCCTATCTGAATCCAGGCCAGCTCCAGGATGGATGTGACTTCATCAAGAATGTGGACCATGAGACGATCGACTTTGCATGCATGCACATGTACCAGGATCTGTGGCCAGAGGAGAGCATCCAGGCACGTGCCCATGATGACTTGGACGGCAGGTTTGAGGTGATGAGATGCTTTAGGCTTGCCGGCTGTGTGCTGTTCTCACACGCTATGGACCTTCCACCATGACCTCCATCCCATGCTGCAGCATGACAAGAAGAAGCGGGAGGAGTGGATCAAGACGTGGTTGAATGTTCACCTGAAGGCCTGCCAGGGGAAGTTGTCCAAGAAGAAACCCCTGATTCTCTCTGAGTTCAGTGAGCGAAAGGGTAAGGACGAAAGTTTTGCCGACCGCCAAGACTTCCTCAAGAAGGTGGACGGAAGTTTTTCCGACCGCCAAGACTTCCTCAAGAAGGTGTGCTGAGAGGGTGGGGACGATGCTGGGGACCTTACAAGACGCCGATGTTGTGTCTTTCAAGTAAATCTGTCGAGTTACTCTCAAAGTTGCCATTCGCTTGCCACGCCAGGTGTATGGGTGGCTCCAGGACAACATGGGCCCACGTGGCATCGTCATTGGATCTGTGGTGTGGATGATATCAGACAGGAAGTTTGTTGAAGAAGGCAATGACAAAGACGAGGGTGAGTGACCGTGGCAGCGGAGGAGGGAATGTGTCTACTCTGCTTAGGTAGTTTATTCTATGTCTGCTAGACTCCCGGGGAGGGAGAAGCCTCCGAAATGTTACTCTTATCCTTGCTGTTGCAATCCATCACAGGAAGGTGCATTATCATTGATGGCGATGGAAAGGACGGACTGCAGCAAGTCATCGACCATGCCGATGCGGTGTACCGCCAGTATCCATCATGCAACCCGCGACACCAAGCTAACTAGCTAGATCGAGCTTGAAGCATAGTCGCCGGCTCTTGCCTTTCCGAATGCTGCGAGATGTGTACATGTCGTCGAGCCCCGTCGCACTCTGTGCGAGACTTCGCTCGGCTTTTATGCGCCATGGCCTCTCCGATGATACATGGCAGTCTTTTAAGTCGACGTGATATTGGATGCTGTACCTTTTTACTCATTCTTCGTTCAGTTTGAAACTTTTCACTCTTCAGCCCGTGCGCCAGTTCCGTCGTCTCGTACGCAGGCTTTCCGTACCATTGACCGACAGCAGCGATCGCCCGAACCGAGTAGTGTATTTGGCGTCCAGAGAAACTTTAGATGTGGAGATGTTTATTTTGCGCGAATGCTTTCCGCATAAGCGCGTTTTGTGCTTAACCGGGCCGGGACTCGATTGGAATCTTCCCCCTGTGAGATTTACCGACATGCCGGAAACAGCATGCAGCCAGACCACACTTGGGCATGTAACCTTAAATTCAAGCCCTTCAAAGTAGACCTTAAGCATCAGTAAAGTTCCTAGTGTAATGTTTCCCTCTCATGGTGGTGCTGCGGAGGATCTTTCTCATACACAGCCGCAGCGGGGTATGCGCAAGATACGCGATACGCTGCGCTGGCAATAATGATGGGGGTGTATGGCTTCCTGTGCCTTCCTAATGGTTCCTATACATAAGCCAGTTACTGCGCATAGGGTACTCATATAACCGTCAGAAGTTCAAGTACAGCTCCGGAAGTATAAGCGAAACTTTTCATACCTCTGAGTCCTCTTGAAGGGCCCATCAGATCTTCCCTTACCAAGTCTTGCCATGGGCGACTTTGTCAAGGTTAGTTCCGACAAGACGCATCTGGAGCTACATGGACAACCTTTCAGGATCGTGGGGGCCAACAGCTACCATGTTCAGGTTAGTAGCCTTCTAATGTAGTCTGCGCGGCCAAAAATATGATACGTAGCCCTGCTGAAGGAGATCGTGTGCACGTCGGTGTTTTTCCATCCCCTCCCTGCACTGACCTCGACAGACCCACGGGGCAGACAACGATGGAGGCAGCGGCCGACAGAACATCGCAACGCTCCTCAACGTGGCCAAACAGAAAGGCGTCAATGTGCTTCGCATCTGGGCGCACAGTGAGCATTGCGAGGAATTCAAATGGTGGGATCATCAGAAGAATGATTGGATACCATTTTCTAACACTTGGAAAATCATCCAGAAGGAGCCCACGCCGGAAGGTACCTGGTACAAGCCTAACATTGATCCTGATGGAATCGATGGATTGGACTGGGTGGTGGCTGAGGCTGGCAGGCTTGGTATTAAGCTGATCATGAGCCTGACCAACTACTGGAATGACTACGGAGGGATGCCTCAGTATGCTAGGTAAGAATTATTTGAGAGTGTAAAGTGGTAAAATAACCAGTGTGTTGCCTGTTGAGCAACTGCTTCGTCACTCACTTCCACTTTCATATCTCGATCATATGTTATGCCATCATTCCGTTTGCTGGCCTTCACAGGTGGGCAACCGGCAAGAAAGATGGCCGCGAGCGCGACATGCAAGAGGAGTTCCTCAGAAATGGCAAGGCTCAGTCCATGCTGAAAGCTTACATCCAGACTCTGCTGAACAGGGAGAACCCCTACACCAAGAAGTTGTACAAGTGAGGTTGAAGGGAGGCGAATGTGCTGCCGTTTTTCAATGAGGAAATCAGAAACTGTGCCTTGTCATACACCGTAGCCTCTTCCATCACACCCCAGAGATGACCCCACCATCCTGGCTTGGTCTCTAGCCAATGAGCCCAGAGGGCGGGGTGACACCTCTGGAAACAGGCTGGATGATTGGATCAAGGATACCACAAACTTCATTCGGTCTCTGGACAAGAAACACCTCATTACTGTGGACACAGAAGGCTTCTTCCTTGAAGATGATTCGAGTGAGTGCCTGTGGGAGTTTGAAAATGAGGACATTGGATGGACTCTATAAATTGTGTGTCGTTGATCTTCGCAACAGGCATAGCATAATTCAAGCCAAGCATGGAAATAATTGCAGGTCTTGACATCAAGGTGGATTACTTGAATCCTAACGAGCGCTCTGAGGGATGCGATTTCCTTCGAAATGCGAGTCATCCCAACGTTGACTTTGCATGCATCCACATGTATCAGGAAAAGTGGGCCCCAGATTATGCAAAGGTATGGGTCTGTCAAACCGTGTCCAGGGGCTCTTGGTGGTGGTGCAATGGAGGGCCTTGAAGCGATCTTGATATTTGCAAAGAATTCATCCTCGAACTCACACATTCCGGACACAGGGAGATGGAAAGGATCCTCAGCAGTGGGATTGGATCTACAAGTGGCTCGACGTACACCTGGCTATTTGCAAGAAAAAGCTGCAGAAGCCTCTGGTACTCTCGGAGTTCAGTGAGATTGCCCACAATGATAACTTCGCCAAACGACGCGAGTTCCTGAAGAAGGTGAATTAGAATGTGGCAGATCTAACACAGGATGCGCCCCGGTTGCTCTGAATGTACGGGACAATGTGAATTGTCCAACCCGGCTCGAACGATCATCACACAATTGACTTGCAGGTGTACAGATGGCTGGAGAAGGGCATGTACTCAAATGATTTTGTGGCTGGATCCTGCTATTGGATGATCTGCGAAGACAACTACAAGAACAGCGATGGTGACAGTGAGTCGTGATGACATGTGGCTTTAGGAAGCCAAGAAACCAAATGTTTTGCAAACCAACCAACCCCAACGTCAGGAAATGAGGCCGCCCACTTCCTTCGCAGAGCGATTTATCATTATTGACAAGGATAGAGATGACGGCAACAGGGAGCTAATCGACCATGCTAAGAAGTTTCCAGTGGTCAAAGCGGCGGCTCCTACACCTAATGTGGCTGCGCAGTGAGTTGAAGGCCATGGAGAGGTGATGCAGTGTCCACGGCTAATGGTAGCCGCAGATCCACTCCCTCAAACTTGCGCGCTGTCTTTCAATGACGTCAGAGCACAGGCCCAAGCTGCCTTTCAACATTATCAAGCAGTCTCAGCCCACTCACAATCATGTCATGCAAGCTACCAATGTGGCTGAGCACACTTCAAACCTGCTCCAATGGTTTTGTATACTATTTGCGTGCCCAGCAATCTTGACAGCGATGCCCCAAGTACAATCGCTTTGTCTACCTGCATGCCATGCCTGTTAACACCTCCGGACGACGATGGCAGACTCATGATTGGCACACTGCAGGGGTGAGGAACACCTCATAGAAACCATGGTGACAGAGTAAGGCTATAGAAAACTAGACCGACACGTCAGCACACAGCCATGCATGGTCGGAAAGCTCGTACCCCTGATTCCCCAGGCTGGTGCTGTGCACCGTCAGCTGGCGTAGCATCATCCAGTCCAGCTTCCCAGCCATAAGCGACCAAGGGCCCCAGCGATACTTGGGGTTGTCCAGCGTGACTGTATTTCTGGCATCAAAGGGGTCTGAGAAGCCCGGGTTCAGGGCGCCTAGAGCCACTTGCGGCGGGAGGCCCCACGCCAGCACGTGTGGGTTTGGTGCCAAGGCGTCAGTGGCATGGGGCTCAGAATACCGTGGATCAGGCACGCTGAGGATCTTGTCCTGCCACACCTCTCCCTCTGTGCTGCCCAGGAACCTGGTGGTTGGTGGAGGTGTGATCATGAGTTTCCCGTTGCCAGTAGTGCTACATCCTGTCGTGCACACTCCCAGCAGTGCAAGGCAGAACACCTGCCAGCAAGGATCCCTCCACAGACCTGAACCGCATGCGATCGCAGCAGTAGGATGGCGACAGGCGGGCCACTCCATGTGCCATGGTATTCATGTCCCCCAGGATGGCTATCCTAGGATAGCCCTGACATGTGAATATGACGCCAAAGGGAGCGATGGGTTCAGGACTTCCCTGAAACACATACCTGGCATTGTACAGCTGGCACACCATTCTTGGGTTACCTGATGTAGTGGACCGATGGCAGAACCCCAACAAGGCTTCACATGCAAGCAAGAAAGCTTGTCCATGGACAGGTGACAACCCATGTGACATTCTGTTTAAAGAATCCACAAGATCCCTCTTCCCACACCTCCCACACACCTGGTCGATCTGGCTCCTGGCGTCATTGAATATGTCTGCCAGGTGCCGCATCCTGACGAGAGCCCCGCAGAACACCTCCAGGTGCGCGCAGTAGACCACGAGGTTGGTGCCAGGCGCTGCGATGCGAGCCCTCAGCACCGCGCGCTCCCCTCGACGCGGCTCCAGCCTCGCCCTAGGTTCCTCGGCCTTGTTCCAGTCCACCGGGTGCACACTGCCAATAAAAGGTGAGGATCGTTAGAGGAGACTCACGTTGAACCTCCCATGCCAGATGAATAACCAGGAACCCAGCCAAGGAAACTCACCACATGCCCCTCTGAGCACCCAACATCCTCCCAGCTCCTCACCTGTGCTGCACTAGGCCCAAATCTAGAATGTCAAACTTGGAGAGTATGGCATTGCCATGGACCCCTCCACCCTACAGAGGCGTTGAGAGAGGATGGCACTGGGTATGCCACTCCTGCGACTGCTTCCAGTGCACACAAGCTCGTCCATTCCAACACGCACCCTCACCAATACCTGGAGCTCTGGCGTCCGCAGCGGAGACCTGAGCTCCTCAAACTCACAGAAGAAGGCATAGTTCAGACCCAGAGCCTTGGCAATTTCATTCCCTGTTTTCGGGTGAAGGTTGATGGGAAATTTGGATACCAATCCACCCTGGCAAGGGAGTCCGAGCACACACCCTCTCCACACCCAAAGATTACCTGTATCCAAAGACCCGCTCCTCTCGCATCCTATATCAACTTCTTGCAGCGCAATCACATCCGCATCTATCTGTTTGAGCTCCTCAATGATTCCAGGCAGCTTATACCCCCGTTCAATGTTCCACTGGAGCAGGCGAAGGGTCTCAGATCGATGAGGTGTCGGGGTTTGGAGATCTCGATAGTCCCTCTGGATGATGCTGCCAGGAGAGGGCAGACGCTCTCCCATCCTGAAACATAAGTTTAAACCGAGTCAGAGGATACGCAGATGCTCGAAGAGCTGCAGAGCTCGCACGTCGTGCATGGTTGGAGTCTTGAATGAATCGGCGGATCTCGCGCCCTGGCCGACCGTTCATGCTCGAAGCATATGGACTATGGACTACGCACAGCCTGGATTGCCATCTCTACGAGCGCGTATAGAACGTTGACAGAACATCAAGGGACAACACGTATCGTGCGTTGTTTTTTTCATTGCGGAGTCCACGATTGCCAGGCGGTCGTGTACATGGACGACACAATCATAAAAGACGATGCACGAGACTCTGATGACGAAGGTGTGACAATACTTGGAGTGCAATGATGGATATGCACAATTCAGTGCCCAACATGACTTCAACATATGCCTCCAGCGACCGGCTCCCTGCCGCAGGAACATGCAGCTCGTCGGGCCGGGCATCCGACGACTCTGACCAGGACTCTAAACAGGGTGAAAGCAGCTCCAGGCAGGCGACAGAGCCTCCTGAGTTCTTCGACCCCGAGGCAGATGACAAGTCGGAGGCCTGGGTGTCAAAGCTACGAGGAGGACGCCGCTCGGATGCCATCCTGAGCTGCCCTCAGTGCTTTACAACACTGTGCCTGGAGTGCCAACAGCACGCGCACCAGCACAACCAGTTCCGAGCCATGTTTGTCATGAACTGCAGGTGCTCGCAACCCCTGTGGTCATTGGCCATGCCGCTGAGCAGGGCAGACGAGATTGCTGGCGCTGCGTGCACTCCTGACCATGTATGATCACGTCATGACATCCATTTGGGACATTGTGAGTACTCACAAAGCATCCTCAACCCCATCCTCATGCCGCAGGATAGACAGCGAGATAGTGCAACAGTATTCAGTAGAGCCCGGTGGTAAGGCAAGGCGAGGAAAGAAACGAGCAATGGCAGAGGAGGGAGATGCCGACGCAGATCCCAAAATGGCAGGTGCTCTTGATGCGGAAACCTTCAACCCTGTGACGTGTGCCGCCTGTGACTGCAGCGTGGGAGTTCGCTCAATGGCCGACGGCACATACCATTTCGTCGATGTATTTGCCAGCAACAGCTGACGCCGACAGGCGACAATGACAACCTATACGCCACACAGATCCAACATTATTGACCAACTTGAGGCTCTGTCAATGGCCTCAAATCCATAGCTTTACCTCGAGTGCAAATCCTTGACTATTAGAGCCCCACCATGCTCTCTTTTTACTCAGGAACAGAAACATGTACATGACTTGAAAGCAGACGATGGAGCGATTGAGAAAGGGCAACAGGGTCGGGTCGTTGAGTCAAGCGGCAGCTAAAGATGGAGATCATGGGGCCAAACATGCAATCGAGCTCTACACCTTGCACTGCTGCGCAGGCTGAGCAGAGAGCACCCTCATTGCGAGGGCGGCAGTGGCTGGTTGTTGCCATGAGGGCCGGGAGCGGGGGGTAGGCCGCCCAGCTGCGGTAGCCCCAGCAGCGCATTGGACACGCCTGGGTATGCGAGCAGCGGCGCAGTCTGCGATGATGGGAGGGGATGACCGAGGCACAGTCAGGGTGGGTAGGATTCCTTGTATAACAAGGCGATTTGATTGCAGTCCAGGCACACACCCGTCGAGCACCTATGCCGACGGGTGTAGCAGCCCCCCAGCCAAACCGACCCCCATTCCAAAATCGTTCCATGGACGTCCCCTCACCTGGCCCTGCTCTCCCGGACCCCTCTCTGCGTCGCCTGAGATGGACCCAAACAGCGTGCCACGAGCCTCAGAGCTGGACAGTGGTGGCTGCATGGTTGTGGAGGAGAGAGAAATGTGATTTGCTGAGTTCTGAGTGGCCAGGAACACAGGCTGCTGAGTTGCTTCACGTTGGCGACGCGTTCTTAAGGTCGACATCCTGGCATGAAGATTTACATCAGACTGCCTTCATCTCCCGACTGGCCACTCCAGCCTCAAGTCCCAGACACACTGCTCACCTTGTCGGAACCTTGCCCCTCCCCCAGATGCTCGACCTCCCCAGGCCCCCCGCTGCCTGCACGGTTGGGAACACAATGCAAGGCTTCACGCCGTGAACATTGTGCATGGACGAGTCATCCTGCACACACCCCGCGATTCACGTGATATTCCATTCCACCTGAAACACACCAAGCACATGCCAACGCCCAGACCCAGCGCCCTCAACCGACCCTCCCAGAACACGCTCCGCGAAACCACCACCCGGCCCCAAAGCAACACACCTGTCCGCAGCTTCTTGGCAGGGTGAGCCTCGGCGTCGTCCGCCGGCCTGGCGCCCACCAGCGCCGGCGGCAGCTGCAGCGCCCCCGCCCCCGGCGGCGGGGCCGGGTGCAGCGGGTACCCCGCGGCGGCCGCGGCGGCGCTCATGGCGGCGATGGTCGCCGGGGTCAGGCCCGCGGCGACCCCGGCCCCCTCCCCGCCGGCGTCGCCGGCCTCGGCCCCGCCCGGCGCCGAGCCCCCCGCGCCGCCGCCATCCCCGCCCCCCAAATGACCCTGGAGCGCGGCGACGGGCATGCCGCCCATGCCGCCCAGCAGGGCCAGCATGGAGGGGCCCCCCGCCTCCAGGCCCATGATGGGGACATACTGCAGGCCCGAGAACATGCCCAGGCCCATGCCCGCCGCGGCGGCCGCCCCCGCCACGATGCCGTCCAGCCGGATCTTGGCGTCGGACTTGAGCGCGGCCCAGCCGCGCCGCCCTCGCTCTGCCGGCCGTGGACCCCGGCCTTGCCCGGCAGCGCGGCCAGGACCTCCACCAGGTGCCGCCAGGCGTCCATCTCACTGGCGCGGTCCAGGTCGAAGCCGGCCTGCGATCCCGCCCGTGGACATGCGGCCACGGACGGGCCTGTAGCAAGTGGGGAGGGGGATGCGTAATGGGTCACGGAAAAGGGGGTCGGTGAATGAACGGTCGAGGAGGGAGGGACGGCAAGCCCTCGATGTGAGAGAAAGTCGGGTGTGGGCGAGCAAGCTCGATGTATGCAGGACCGTGAGGCATAGCCGTCGCACCCTCGCCCACCCCCACCACCACCACCGACCAAACTCGAGCTCACCCCCCCTCCGCCCGCGCCGTCCTCGGAGGCGCGCCTGACCGGCGGCAGCAGGGGCACGGGCTGCGGCACGGGGTCGGCCTCGGCGGCCTGAACCCCCTCCAGGCTCAGGGGCAGGGGCCAGGCGTTGGGGTGCACGCCCAGCGCGTGCAGCTCGGGCTCGATGGCCTCCCAGGACCGGCCCGGCTCGCGCTTGGCCACGCGGCGCGCGGCTTCCTCGCTCACCGGCCGGCCGGCCGCCCAGGACAGCAGCGTCGCCACGTAGCCGTACCAGCCCGTGGGCACGCCCCAGGTGGGCCGCGGCGCGGCGCCCAGCGTGGCGTCTAGGTAGTGCTTGATCTGCTCCTCGCTGATGCGGTTGCCGCCCCCGGCCTCGTCGCTGGCCCCGATGTGCCCCACCGACTGCGGCAGCAGCTTGACCAGGATGCGCACCAGCTGCCGCATCTCGTCCATGGGCCCGCGCCGGGTGGGCTTGCCGCCGCCGCCGCCGCGCACCCGCCCGGAGGGCGGCGCCTCGGGCGTGGCGCCGCCCTCCTCCTGGCTGGGCGGGACGGGGAAGTGGGCGGGGGACATCCAGGTCAGGTTGGCAAACAGCTCGGGGTGGGCCTGCATGCTGGCAAAGTCCATGTTGCTCAGGGGCAGGATGCTGGGCACGCCGGGGCGGCCATCGCCGCCGCCGGGGGCAAAGGGCCCGCCGCCGGCCGTGGCCTGGCTGCCGCCCTGGGACTCCAGCAGCTGGGGGTGCGGCACGTCGGGCTGCGAGGAGGGCACGATCAGGCTGGGCGCGGCGGTGCCGGCGGGCGGTGGTGCAGGGGCGCCCGCCTCGCCACCTGTCGCCGACGGCGCGGCGGCGGCGGGGGCCGCGGGAGGGCCGGGCGCGGCCCCTGCGGCCTCCCCCGCGCCGGACTTGGCGGCGGCTGCCGCGGCCGTGGCCGCCGCGGCAGCAGTGGCCGCCGCCGCTCCCTTCGCCCCGCCCAGGCCCGCCTTGTCCTGCTCCAGCAGGAGGTCGGTGAGCTGGCTCAGGCCGGGGGCGTGGGAGCCGTAGCCCGCGGGCCTGCCGGGCGCGGCCCCCCCAGGTGCGACCTGGGTGGGGTCGGGACCGGGGAGGGGCTGGCCCCCGGACCCCGACTTGGACCGGGAGCCGGGGCTGCCTCGTCGACCGGGGTTCGCCTTGTCACCGCCCTGCAGCAGGCTCTGCAGCTGCTCGAACTGGGCACTGCCCACCGTAGACATGCTGGAGTCGCCCGGGGGGGTGACGGGCCGGGTTGGAGCCCGGGAGAGGACCTGGAAGCCGTGTGTCACGGGATGGGAACGGGGAAGCCGGATGTGCGCGTCGCTGCGTCTCCCCCTGCCCAGCTCGCGATCCTGCGAGACTTCGCGTGCAAGGCTGGGGCGTGGGAGTCTCTGCTCCTGCGCTCTCCGCGATGCGCAAGGTCTGGTCAGGGCCACTCGAGGTGGAGAAGTCCGGATTCAAAGTTTTATACGGGGCCTGCTGTGCTATGCACGCGCTGTGGTCGTGCTGCGAAGATAAGCTGCGGGCAAGACTGGGCGGGGGCGGGGGCAAATCGACCCGGTGCCCCCATTGGACCGACTACTGAAGAAGACAATGGCTTGCCACGCCTACGGGCAGAGGTACAGCCGCGTTCGCTGGACCCTTCAACTTGTCTTACAACCTGGCAATGCCAAAGATCATCAAATCGGCCCGGGACCTGCCCAAGGATGGTGCGCCCTAAGGGTGCACGCAAAGCTACGTTCAACGATGCAGAAATTGCGAGCACATTCTGGAGAAGGGGGACGTAATCTCTACCGACCACTGGGCAGTGCACGGCGCCCCTATGGTGGATGTGTAGTCGTGGGTTAGGTTTATTGGGCTGTTTGACACACCATTGAGCTGATTGCTCACGTGATGACGCTCTGATGCACATTCAGTGGCATGCTGACCCACTCCCCCTCAGCCACACTGCACTACCTGGGGCCGGGTGCTGGTCGTCTGCCTGGCGCTGTACTTTCCGGTTCCGGGCAGCAGGATCTCAAATGGAGACACCTGATGAAAGCAAGAGGAAAGGGATTGGGCAGTTATCAGGGCAGCAGCAATGAAGAACGGCATGTTTCACACACTGGGCCCTTCAGATGAACGGCAGCACCAGGGGTGCATGTCGCTCTGTGGAGAAGACCTACCAGATACACAAGCCAGACAAGTGCGATGTCATTCTTCAGCAAACAAAACCATGGACTGAAGCAACAAATGGCGCTGCGCTCAGCACCATCCTCGAGGCCTGCTACCCCCCAGCCGGCCACCACACGCGACGCACGCTGGAGGAGGGCTTGATCTGCAGCTTGGCGTTCTGCCAGCCCTGGAACCCCCCAGACACGACGTACACCCTCTTAAACCCTTGCCGCGCCAGGTTCTTTGCAACTGCGTGTTTGGGGCAAGGGTTGTGAAGCGCAGGGTGAGCAAAGTGTGGCAGGGCTACTGGAAGAGATCTGCATTGTGCACTGGAGTGTCATCATGACCGCCTGACAAGTCACTCCAAGACCCTTCCCGGCATGGAGCCAGGCACCGGTTCCCTCCACACCCCCCACAACCCTCCACCCACCCGTCTTGGCCACGCTCCCGTTCTTGTCCAGCAGGTAGATGGGCGAGCCGCGCTTGGCGCGCTTCAGCCCCGCCACCTGCATGGCGGTGACCTCTGCCTCCAGCGACCCGGGGTCGCGCAGCGCGCCGCGCGCCCTGCGGTCCCCGATCTCCGCGTACTCCACCTCCACCAGCTTCCCGGCGCTGGGCAGGTCCGGGACGCCCGCCACCGACTTCTCGCGGTCGCTGCGCAGGTCCACCAGCACGCCGTCACGCCAGCCGGACAGCTCGTTGAGGGCGGCGGCGGGCGCGATCTCGCCCGCATACCCGCGGAACCCCGACCCCAGCAGGCGCAGCGTGGGCGGGAGCAGGAACCAGGCCGCGGCGGCCGCCAGCGCGGCCTTGCCCGCGTTCCCGGGCGCCGCCGCCAGCGCCGACACCACGCCCTGCCCCACATGCACAGCGGTGAGCGCGCCGCCCGCCACGCCGCCCGCCAGGTCGCCCAGCGCGCCCAGCGCGCCACGCACCGCGCCGAGGTCCACGCCCGCGCCGGAGGCGGCCGAGGCCAGCGCGTCCTGCGCCGCCGGCAGCGCGCGCTCCAGGGCCGGGCCCGCCGCGGCGCCGGCCTTGGCCACGCCGGCCTCCACGCCGGGGCGCACCGCGTCCACGGCGCGGTCGACGTAGGGCGCGATGCGGGAGTAGGCCGACTCGGCAGCCTCCAGCCCGTCCTGGGCGCCGCCCAGGCCGGACTTGATGCCGGAGCCGGCGGCGCGCAGGAGGTCCACCAGCGTCCCCACCGCGGTGTCCACGCCGGAGGAGAGCTGGGCGGGGTCGATGGCGGGGAGGGCGGGGGCGGCGCCGGCGGCGACGCTCGCGGCGGGACCCGCGTCCTGAGCCAGGGCGGGGGAGGCCTCAGACAGCAGCAGGCCGCCGACAGTCGTGGCGGCGGCGATGTGGCCTGGTGTGTTGAGCAAGGGAAGGGTGAGGGGTGAGGGTCGGGCAGGAGTGGTGTGCCTGGTGCATGGGGACGGCGAGGGAGACCAGGGGCTTCCATGTCATGATGAGAGGTTACCCCTGATGAGCCCCACGGTCACCGGCTCCCTAGAGGCGTTCAGAGCGCGATGCATGCAGCTGTCATCAGGAGAGGAGCGCATGTTGCGATCGCAACGATGTTTCCCTTCATGCACGCCCGGTGAAAATGCAGTATGTGTGCCAGAGCCCCGCCCCCCAGCACCTCGGATCAGCTTCTCGGCCGCACTCGACCGCCCTCCTTCCATTCTGCTGGATTCCTGGGCAGCACAGAAAACCTGTACTGCGCTGGTGGAGTGTGCATGGCCGGCAGGCAGGCGGGGCAGCCGGGACTTGGTGGACAGGGCCAGGCCCCTGCCCACAGCCATTCGCGAGCCGAGGTGGGCGAGCGACATCGCGCGAGGTGTCAGCGGTGGGTGGCAGCAGATGCTTACTCAGTGTGCATGCCGATGGGGATCATCGCCATGCATGCACGGCGTTCACGGCCGGTCTGAGGGGGCTGATTCTGGGGAACATGATCCGAAGGTAGACGCATCGGAAAGCAGATTTTGTTGGCGCGCGGCCAGGAGGACCAGGCGAGCATCCCACAAAAGCCCCTGATCCACGCCGATCACGACTCATACGAAAGAACCTGCTCACACATTTCAGCAAGAAGTGATCAACAAACCCTTCCCGTGTGGCGTGCAGTGCCCTGTGCAGCATGGGAGCCGGGTTGCTGTGCGGTCCCGTCGCCTGTGCTCTTAGCGCACCCCGGCCATTGCTCCTCAGCGCTGCCAGACCTCCATGCCCGCCCTTTGTGAGGCATGCGGCACATTATGACGCACGCCACACCTCGGCCGTCTCCCTCGGTGCTCTAGGGAAGTCCCAGTCCCGGAAGCAGGATGCAGCCCTGGAGTGGTCTGATGCAGGCCATGTCGTGGCCTGGGAGAGGGCCGGGATGGCCATGGCAGCCCTGACCGCCAGCGCCGCCCTGCTCTTCTGCTCCTGCGACCCTGCTTTCGCGGCAGGGAGCGGGGGACGCATGGGTGGCAGCGCCTTCTCCAGCTCGAGGTGTGGTGACACTGTGGTTGAGCAGCGCTACCACATACGGACAGATCCAGCGGCGCTTTGCCGTGTTCAATTTCCCCAAGAGGAGCGTCAGGGTGTGAACTCCAGGTCCATGGACAAAGGAAGATGCAAGTGATCCTCTTACCTCCTCACACACACCCCCACCATCCCCCTCTCACCCAGCAGCAGCAGCAGCCCGTCGTCCGGATTTCAAGACAGCGGCAGCTCCTTTCCATTGGGCCGGGGCGCCGACTCCTCGTCCCTGCAGCAGCAGCGTTCCCAGGGCGCCCGCTCCCTCTCCTCGCCGGCGGCTCGCTCCTCGGGCGGTCACCACCTCAGCGTGACGGGCCGGAGCGCGCTGGCCCCCGCCTACATGACCCCCCTGGGCGGCGGCGGCGGCGGCTTCGGCCTCACCTCCCTCCTTTTCTGGGGCGTGTTTGCCTTCATCATGGTCAAGGCGGCGCAGGGCGTGCTGGGCGGCGGCGGCGGCTCCCGCGCCCTGCGTGAGGGCGACGACCCGGTCAGCGTGGCGAAACTGCAGGTGGCCCTCCTCGGCTCCGCGCGGGGCCTGCAGCGGGACCTGGAGCGCATCGCCAGCCGGGCCGATACCAGCGGCCCCACGGGCCTCCACTTCATCCTCCAAGGTGTGGTGCCG